CCGCCTTTCCATTTTAATTTTGTTGAATTGAAAGTGGTGGAAAAAAGTTATTTTACGTATGGTAATTTTAATAACATGGAGTAAACGCAGCTTATTTACCGTCATGAGACGTCGTTGTCAATTTAGCCTCCCTTTTTAATCGGGGTTTATTGAATAAACTATGCATTATTTTAATTTATGGTAAGTATTTCATGAGGATATTAATAAATATAATTATCCCACCATCAGGTGACATATTTCGCTAATTGTTGCGCAATGCATTAGTTGTGTATGTGGCACATTTCGGAAATGCGGTTTTAATTTCGAATATGGCAATTAAAATGGCAACACTAGTGGCTGGTTTGATTTATTTCATTTTTGCCCACAGACGCATTAAATTTGTTCCAAGCGCATCCAGTCCAAAGGAAACTCCACCGACATTTTTTTTTCCACTCCCATATCTAAAATACTTAATTACACACTGATCTAGCGTGCGGGAAGCGTCACTTTACCACGCCAGTTTCGTTTCCCACGGATCCGAGCCACTTCGGACATTTTCGGGATTTTCCCGCATGGATTTGGGAGCAATCGGATGTTTTCGGAGATATTTCCCCCGCTTTGAATTTTGACGTTTGTCAATTCTGACGGTCATGTCAGTGAATGTATTCGTGTTATTTTGCGAAACTGACGTGGTAAAGCGACGCTTCCCGCACGCTAGATCCGTGTGTAATTGGGTATTTTACAGACGGGAGAAGAAAATATACTATAACATTCTAAACGTCTCTTTTTTACTTTGGTAAAATTTCAAAAGGCAAAGCAAAAGGGAACATTTATAATGGCTTTTTTGTTGAATGCGGATTTTTAAGTATTTTTTCAATAAATATCGTTATAATTAATTGATGTCGTTTAAATTGGACGGTGCCGAAAAAAAAATTTTGTGAGCAAATATTTTTGCCAGGCATCTTAACTGCTGTGTACACAGCGTGTGTGAGTGTTTGATGGAGCCCAGAGTAATTTTACGCAAAATACACACGGGGTAATATTTGACTTTGGCCCATTACCGGAAAACCCACTCGCGGCGGAAAGATAAATCTCTCTCGAAGAGAAAACACGCGGCGACGCTGACGTCGTCGGACAACAGGAAATTAGTGGTCTCGGGTGTCAGCCTCGTGAATATGACAAAAATGATCGTGTTTCCGTACGACGACAGGATGGGGGTCCTTGTGTTTTTTTCTTGTTTCGGTAATTTTGTATTCCTCAAAATGACGCGATTTTATAGCAAGATAGGAAGGGATAATCCAAATACGAATTAGCAAAAGGTTACTTGTTTTAAAGATACAGGACGTTCAGGTACTGCAACCCGCAGTCAAAAGAATATTTTTTATTAACCCGTGAGTTTCTTTCTATTATTTTATCGCCCTCTATTTATTACAGCCACCGGCTAAGGTAAAAGTTGACGTCTATTAAATCAAATTTATCCAAATTCAAAGAAACTTCTACTGTAATACTATATACAAATCTTCTGGGTTCGTCCTGTATCGCTTGTTTATAAATAAAAGTGGCTGACGTTAGGCTAATTATCCTGTTGGCCTCTTTAGAGCTTAGCTGAAACTGGTTAAACTTCAGCAACTTTGATTCATACAATCCACAGATTTTTCTCCAAGTTAAAGCCTATAAGAATAACATTTTGTATTTTTATGATAAAGGTAAACTCTACCTTACCTTACTAGGAGTTACCAGTATTTTTTTTTTAATTTGTGTCTATATTTGATGAACTGTAGGTCCCAAAAAATTTGCTTAATATCAATTTTTTATCCCTGCCTGCCAAATTTGATTCTCATAATACAGGGGCTTGTGAGAAAAAAGGCTTATGCCAAGCTTTTGTGCGAAATAGTATAACCAAACTAATATCTAGATCACTCGCTTGCTTCCAGAACTCTAGTCAAGTCGTTCTACAGCTATATTCGATGGCCTTTACCCCTGTATAGAGGTACATACTGAGTTGAAGGAAGTAAGACATTTTCAAAATCACATTAACATAATTGAAATTTATTAATACTTATATATAAGGTTGTTCGGAAAGTCATTTCGTTTTTTCCCGTCAGAGGACTTAATTACGCTTTTTCGAAACCAACTTCACACTTAAGCCGCATAACCATTATATGTCTTGAGAGCTGATATTGCAAGGCTTGTGTGTGAAAAAGTTCTATTAATTCTACGCAGTAGTTTTTGGTTGGTGCCCTTTTAAATATGGAGAGCAATAAGCAGCATTTTCGTCATATTTTACTTTTTTACTTCAGAAAAGGTAAAAATGCTGTCCAAGCGAGAAAAAAATTGACGGATGTGTATGGAGAAGGCGTGTTAACAGTACGCCAGTGCCAGAACTGGTTTGCAAAATTTCGATCCGGCAATTTTGATGTCGAAGATGCACCACGGTCTGGAAGGCCGGTCGAAGCTGACAAAGATGCGATAAAGGCATTAGTTGATGCAAATCGGCGAATAACCACACGAGAGATCGGTGAGAGATTAAATTTGTCGAATTCGACTGTTTATGGCCATTTGAAAGGCATGTGCTTAACCTCGAAGCTCGATGTGTGCCCCATGTCCTTACGGAGCGAAATTTGTGTCGTCGCGTTGACGTGTGTGATTCGCTCCTCGAACGTCAAGAAAATGATCCATTTTTGAAGCGGATTATTACTGGGGACGAAAAATGGGTTGTATACAACAATGTTAAACCCAAGAGGTCATTGAGCAGAAAAGATGAACCGGCTCAAAGCGTGTCAAAAGCCAACATTCACCAAAAAAAGGTGATGCTCTCCGTTTGGTGGGATGTCAAAGGAATCGTTTTTTTTTGAGCTTTTGCCGGACAATACAACGATTAATTCAGAAGTCTATTGTCATCAACTGGACAAATTGAATGATTCACTTAAAGAGAAGAGGCCCGAATTAATCAGCAGGAAGGGTGTAGTGTTCCACCAGGATAATGCGAGACCTCACACAAGTTTGGTCACTCGCCAAAAACTTTTACAGCTTGAATGGGACGTACTGCAACATCCACCATATTCTCCAGATCTGGCGCCTTCCGACTACTATTTGTTCCGGTCCCTGCAAAATTTTTTGGATGGCAAAACCTTTACCTCAAATGAAGATGTCAAAAACCACCTGAACCAGTTTTTTGCCAGCAAAGACCAAAACTTTTATGAGAGGGGAATTATGTTACTGCCAGAAAGATGGCAAAAGGTGTTGGGCCAGAATGGCCAATATATAATTTAATAAAATATTTATTCATTATACGAAAACTGTCTTTCATGTTCCCCAAAAAAGACGAAATGATTTTCCGAACAACCCAATAGTTTTAGTCGTACAGTGTAATGTACTACCTTGTCGCAAGTCTACTGGTCCCTCTGGTCGGTCTCTTTTCCCTCTTAAGGCCCCCACAGACGTCGTTCTTTTTTCGCAATTTTACCCGCACGGGTAAAACAGCACGGTTAAACACGAACAACGACTTGCCCCCAGTCGTACGCGTTGTTTTGTATGTTTCGTCAGTTTATTTGAAATTGCTGGCAAAAATCATTGGTGTTGGATTTTACAATGACGTTAGCAGTGGCGGCCGCAGTTGCTATTACAATAAAATATTCTGAAAAACAACGAAGACAATTTTCACATGTTAATCTATGAAATGAATTACGACTAGAATCGGGAGATTGGTTTAATTACCTGCGGATGGACGAAGAAACGTATTTGGAACTGCTCTTTTTAGTAGCACCACTGATAGAAAAACAAGATACCGTAATGAGACAAAGTATTTCACCACATGAACGTCTCACCGCCACACTAAGATTTCTTGCTACGAGAAGAAGTTACGAAAATTTTTAGTGGCTATATCACCCCAGGCCCTTGGGCAAATTATACCAGAAACGTGCAGTGCCATATATTCTGTTTTAAAACACCATTACTTAAAGGTAAGAACAAGGTTCTTTACATGGCTACATGGCTTGTTATTTATAAAATTAGGTGCCTTTTTGATCGGTAAGTTTATTTTGGAATTTTCAACATTTAATAGAACCTTTTGTAATACTTACCTCATTGCTACTTGCTTCGTCACCAGTATTAGTAACTGTGCTCCTCGGTGTTTCTTGGTCTGTAAGAAATAATAGATATTCGTAGTACAAGTGTGGTTTATAGATGTCTTCAGTATCGGAACCAGATATCTTAGATTGTAAAAACTACAGCAATATATTTTTATTCAACAATACAATTTTAAAATCTCTACTCAAAACTAACCCTAATTATTGCTGTGTATAATAAGTCCTTCTTAACTGTTTTCCCACCACACACTGACAGACTTGAACGAACGCGTTTAAAACGGACGGTTAAAATCAAGCAGTGGCAGATATTTTTGAACGCCAGCAAAAAGCACCGTTTTAACCGTGGGGACCTTTACACATGGTTGCGACTCCTGTCTTGAATTTGGTCGTTCAAGTGTTCATGATTATACTGTCCCTTCCTTAAAATGAATACACCATTCTCTTCAACTGTTCCTGATGCTTGGTATTTTGTTTCTGTGCTTCTGAGATATCTTTTTGCAATAATTCTAATAAAGGGTTGAACAATGTTATAAAATACGAAGTTTTAATATATTGAATCAATTTTACATCGTTACATTACACCTTCTGCGTGAATAATACATAAAGTCGTTTACCCTCTGAATTCTTAGCCATTCCTGTTTAAAAAAAACCTAATAAAATGTTAACTTAGTATAAATCGGATCGGCTGTTACAAACCACCCCCCGTTCAAACCCGAACGCCGTTCCGGATTTTCGTCAATTTGACATTCGACAATTTGCAACCATCTTATTTTTATGGCTCAGAATGGTGACACAGTGACGAATGTTTTTTTTTATTAACATTAAAATTAAAAAATTTTTTTTATAGGACGCGAATGGAACCTTATTTTTTCACATGTTGATCACTGAGATTTTGAAGATTTGACGTTTAATTGCGACTCTATATTGTTTCAGGACACAGTATGGCCCCAGACAGCCGGCACACCTCAAAAGGAAGACTTGCATTGTCGATCTTATGCCTCCAGACGATTTATTTCCAATCTAGCGTTGGTAAGTTGCCACTAGTGCGCTAATTATTGCGGAGGAGGAATTTAAACGTGAAGCGAAACCTCCCCTTTTGAATCTCTCTTTCTTCGGGTCGTTTCTGATTAAGTTCGATAGGCGTATACAGACGCTCAGCTTCCAAGATTTCGATAATGGCCTACCTTATGAACAATGCTTCTCAGCTTAATTGCGACACTTTGCGTCGTTTAAGCGTAAGTGTGCTTTGATTTTGATGTGTTGGGGAAGGGCGACACCTTCTGCAGTCAAATCGAAAAAAAGAAACTTTAGCAATGTGCTTAAAAGAAGAAAAATGATTTTGTGTTTAAAAAAATATCATGAGTTTGGTCGCCCCATATTTTAAACTGATAATTCTACAAAAACCCAACGGTAGTAGTATCTGGCAATTTATTTCGAATAAATCGGAACTAATAAAAAGTCGGCGGACACGAAAAACTTTTAGTCGCCTCGAGTGTGGATCGGCGTACGGGGATAATCAATCAATATTTGTTTCCCACATGATACCAATTTTTCGGTATGGTATCTCGATTGTCTCCCATGCTCCTCGCTGACATATCGGGCCCATTCATCATCCATATACGTTTCGCGTTCCATTTTGTGTAGGAAACTAATGATCACTTCCTTTTCTGCTCTTTTGTCATTCGAAGAGACAGTTTAATTCAGATACACGTTTGCAGTCGGCTACTGTATAGTTATATCAGCGACCACGATGTTTTTTTTAGCATATATATATATATATATATATATATATATATATATATATATATATATATATATATATATATATATATATATATATATATATATATATATATATATATATATATATATATATATATATATATATATATATATATATATATATACACACAGTGTTCGAAGTGTTTTCGGAGCGCGAGCATTGAAGATGCCAAGTGAGATTTTGGCGAAACGTCTGCAGGATTCCTGTCGGATGCAAGATTTGCAGGATTCCAGTCGGATGCAGGATTCCAGTCGGAGTTCAACGAGCGAACGGATGATATCCCGGAATATAGTGTCATCACATTTTTCCATCCGTGAATCAATACGTGAATATATATATATATATATATATATATATATATATATATATATATATATATATATATATACAGGGTTTTTCACTTAAAACTCCGCACGCCAATAAGTCCAAAACGAAAAGAAATATTTAATTTATGTAAAAAGTAATCAAAGTGTGGGGTCAAGTAGATATTTCCCAAAGTTTAAAATATTCGACGCCTGCAAAGAGCTGGGCGTCGCGACGCATCGAAAAATTATTCGATTGCAGAGACTTTGGAAATACGCACATACAAAAGTACATATTATTTAAAAACTTTTTTGTTATTTACTCAAACTTATTTACTTTACCCTTTTCTAAGTTATACCGATTTAAAGTAAACATTTCTTGATTAAAAAAAATGTGATTAACGCTTATTTTTACAAGTATGCCATCAACGTTAGTTACTATGGCAACCATTGTTTTCGCAGTTGTTTTAAGTGCAATTACAAACGTAAGTTGTTATTGCTGTATCAAAAAATTGTCAGATTTTGTCACAAGAAATATCCAAATTTGTTCGGTTAAAAAAAAACTAAGAATCATTATGTGAAAATGGTGCAATTTAGCAATGAGGAAAAAGTAGACATGTTACTGGTGTTTGGAGAATGCAGATGCAATTGTAGAGAAGCAAAAAGAGTTTACGCACGGCGTTATCCGCATAGAAGAGTCCCCGATGCAAAAACCCTTTCAAGTTTATGTAAAAACTTAAGAGAATATGGCAGCTTCATAAAACCTAAAAGAGATAGGAACAGGACGGCTACAAATGATGAAAATACTGCTGCTGTAATTCAGCAGGTTGATAATAACCCCAAGATATCCCTATCAGAGATAAAAGAAAATACCGGTGTTACCATAAGTTCTTCATGGAGAATTCTACATAGAAACTCTTTTCACCAGTACAAAAGTAAACTAGTTCATAAACTAGAACCAGGCGATTATGCTAGAAGAATGTATTTCTTAGCGACATTGTCCGATTTGTATAGCCAAGATGCAAATTTTCTCTCGAAAATTTTATGTAGCGACGAAAGTCGATTTCAAAATAATGGAATCGTTAATAGACACAACTGTCGTTTTTGGTCCGAAAACCATCCTCGTTGGATTACAGAAAGAGGTAACCAACGAATTTTTAGTATCAATGTTTGGTGCGGCATATTAAATGGATTTCTTATTGGACCTTACTTTTACGAAGGAACTTTAAATGCAGATCGCTATTTAAGATTTCTTCAAACTACACTTCCGGAACTATTAGAAGAAGTGCCTCTTGACACTAGAATCAATATGTGGCTACAGCAGGATGGAGCGCCTGCACATAATGCCCAAATAGTAACGAGGTATTTGAACCGAGAATATCCCAATAGATGGTTTGGTACTAATGGACCGGTAAGGTGGCCGGCGAGGTCACCACCAGATTATTTTCTTTGGGGCTACCTAAAAAACGTTATCTATGAAGAACCTATCGAAGATATGGCTGATCTCATTAACAAAATTAGTGCAGCGTGTGCCGCTATCACAAGAAGGACTCTCCTACAAGTGACCCAAGCCCATCAGTTAAAAGTTTTTGATAGTTGTGTTCGAGCAAATGGACATAATTTTGAACAAAATTTTTGAAATGTCTTATTATGTAGTTAATTGCAATAATAATTTTGGTTATTAACTTGTAGGTATTTTACTGTTTTTTTCATTTATTAATCATGTTATCAGAACTAAATCGATACAAAATAATAAATAAAATCATACTAAAATAGTTGAAATCTATTGTTTGTAATTGCACTTAAAACAACGGCGATAACATTGGTTGCCATAGTAACTAACGTTCATGGCATAGTTGTAAAACTAAGCGTTAATCACATTTTTTATTAATCAAGAAATGTTTACTTTAAATCGGTATAACTTAGAAACGGGTAAAGTAAATAAGTTTGAGTAAATAACAAAAAAGTTTTTAAATAATATGTACTTTTGTATGCGCGTATTTCCAAAGTCTTTGCAATCGAATAATTTTTCGACGCGTCGCGACGCCCAGCTCTTTGCAGGCGTCAATTTTTTTAAACTTTAGGAAATATCTACTTGACCCCACACTTTGACTACTTTTTACATAAATTAAATATTTCTTTTCGTTTTGGAGTTATTGGTGTGCGGAGTTTTAAGTGAAAAACCCTGTATATAATGCTGCTAAAAAATTCATCGGGGTCGCTGATATAAGTACATATCCTCTATGTTCTCTTTTGCATAGCTTCATCAATTCTTGCCTTCCAGCTTTTCCGTGGTCTGCCTCTTTTAATTCTTCCTAGACTCATAAATTAATTTGGGTGTTCTGTTCTTCGCGCATTCGACTCATGTGTCCAAACGACATTAGTTGTTTTTCTTCAATAGCATCTGATAGTCTCTTTTCTACATTTATTCTGTTCAAAATTTCGTCATTTTTGATTTTGTCCATTAATTTGATTATACAGCACCTTCTCCAATACATTTCTGTAGAAGCTACCTTTTGTTATATGTTATATGTCACTCCCAAGTACTTATACTGGTTTGTATGGTTTGTATGTTTAATAGTTCCCACATCAGTTTGTAAATCTTGTCCGTTTATTCCAATACTCATGTAGTGGGTACATTTCTTCCATTTCTTTTATTCTTCCATAAGCTTTCTAAACATATTGTTTGTATCGTCCTCATCTTCTGCTAATATTACTTGATCATCTGCAAATAAGACACTGTTGATTTTCGTCTCCACTCCTTTAAGGCCTTATCGATGTAAACTTTAAATAAAGTGGGTATCAGGCCGTTATTTACCAAAATTTCTTGAGAAGGTTCTTTTCTAATTTTTACTAAGCTTTTCGTGTTATGGTAGCACTGAAAAGATGTGAAAATGTTATTTATCTGTTTTTATGGAAAAATTGCGAGCGATGTCGTTAAATGACACTCCAAAAGTCCATCGCTCTGAACGATCGTGAATAGTGTTTTAGTTTGAAGTGTTTCCTTTGTTGTGTGATTTTCGTAGAAGGAAGAAAAGTATGAAAATCGTACGGCGAATGGTATTTCACATCGTGTATTGTGTTTAAAACAAGTTGAAATTTTTCTGTCGAATTTTTCATAATTAAACTGGCTACGACACCCATTCATTCATCGTTTGCCTCCCGATTTGCCGATTCCGTTAAAGATTGTGTCTGATGCCGTGCTGACGAAGTGCGTTGCGTGCACGCAAACCCATAAATAAAACGTAATTGTTCTCGCCCGTTTTCGTGAGGTGAGGAGGAGGAGCAGGAGGAGGAGGGAGTATCGAACGTTCGTTCGAAGAATCGCGGTTTCGATGGCCGCCGCGGGCGGCGGCGGTGTCACAGTCCTTAAAAACTTTTTCGCCGACCCGAAAAAGGACAAAAATAACCGCCCCCTCACGAACCGATTCCGTTCTCCGTCGGCTCGTGGCGACCCGAAGTGCCGCGTTGCCAGGTTTAACGATTTTGAAGGTTTCGGTGTTAAAACGCCCGAAGAAGTTTCGCTTCTTTTTGATTTAATCTAATATTTTGCTACTCATGCATTTATGCATAGCTTTTTGCAACTCTAGTTTTGGCCTGCCTCGTTTTCTTCTACCTGTTAGTTGCCAGTGGAGTATTCTTTTCGGCCATCGGGTATTTGACATTCTTTCCACGTGTCCGTACCAAGTAAGTTATTTTTTCTCTATATCCTGCGTTATTGTGCCTTCTAATCCCATCCGTTGTTTTATGGTATCGTTTCTTATTCTTTCTCATTCGTGAAATGCGCATTGATCTTCTAATTGCATCCATCATCTCGACAGCCTTAACCCTTTTATGTCTATCGGAAATTCTCGATGTCTCTGATCGATATAGAAGAGTGCTTTTTACCATTGCTTCATAGATATTAAATTTCCGTTTCTTGGATATTTCTTTGCTCCTTAGGG